TATGCATTATATAGATTATTATAGCAACTCTTTTAGAATCCATCTACCTTATACTAGCTGTACCTTCGTTTTTACGGTATAATATTTTATTGCACGCGCAAAATGCAACCGCACGAAGATGATCAATGATCTATTATTTAACACGTGATTCTCTTGAGAATTTATAACGAAAATGTAATTGTTTTTCATTTGGAAAACGTATTTTCTACAGCACTCTATAATCAAGCCTGGAACAAAGTCCCCAGGCCATAATAAATACGATTTTTTCTTAGGGTTTCTAATTTCTTACCATACACATTCTTATTACATATTGTGCGTAAAGAAATACCCATAATATCTTTAGGCTTTAATTTTTAACATGAATAAAAATACTTAATTTTTACATTTAGGTGACGTGATACAAAAATTTGCTTCAGTGACAGATTGCTAGAAAAAAAAATTAACTGAATATTACTATAAGTTACCTATATTTAATTATGTCTTATGAAAATAAAAATATAACTTAACTAATTATACGCAAGTTTTTATAATTTTATTTTATTTGGAGCTTTAAAAACTTAGCTCCGAGATCTCAAGTTCTCACACGGCCTTGTTTTATAAGCCCGACAATGATGTATACATATTTTATAATAATAAAGGTAGTACCGGAATATAGATTAATGTATTTGTAATGCCCATTAAGCGATGAATCAATGCGGCAGTTAACGTGACTATATTATATTATATTATATTATTATTAAGACACGACCTAATTTATTCAAAGCGGTAATAATTTCACGGTTTTTAACGCGTACGCGTAATACCATATTATACGACGACTGATCACACATAATATATAATATGTAATGAACATGCATTCTATATATTACACGGTAGATATGGTAGATAGTCAAACATTAACAGTTTAATACGAAAATAATGTGTCAAGGAAACGTATTTTTCCTAAAAAATAAATAAATAAATTAGTATTAATTTCTATTGCTATAGATATTGTTTTGCGATGAGATCTGCAGTTACAACAATCTCCAATTGTTAAAACTTGAAAATGGATGACTTGCGTACGAAAAAAGTTATTACTAGATATATCGTTACGCGTAACGTTAAAAATTATTTTTTAAACAAATATAATAACAACATACCAGTTACCTACATAATATTATGTTCGCAAATATTGTATACTATATTTACGTTGCATCGACAGGATTGTATACAACTATGCAATAATAATACGAGTTCATAAAGCAATAGCGCGTAATTATTACTATAACTATTAATATTAAAATATAATATAGTTTTCAAATTATTCTAATAGGGTTATCGCCATGAAGGGAAATATGTGACTTAAATTCCGTTTCGTAGATTTTCCACCTTCCCTTCCATCACATTGGATTGTAATATGTGCAGAATTTGGAATAATTGCATGCTAAATGGGTAAATAGTTGATCAAATAATCAATATATTATATTATTGAATTCGTCCCTTTCTGTTTGATATAATATATCTGTGGACTGTCGATTTGCATAAATTCAACGCGCTATATTAATGATGATAACGTGTTATGTTTATACAGCATATATAGTATTGAATAATAATATTTAATTAGAAAATCAAACAATAATATACATTTAAATTTTAACAAAAAAAATTTTAAACAGATTTGTAGCTCCCTTGTATATAATATTAATGTTTTTAAAACGAAAAATATCCAACTAGATTACCATTACTGGTTTTTATTTATTAAGATCGAGTCATAATAACATGATTAAAGATTATTGTGTTTTTTTGTTTGTTTGTCAACAGTTATTAATTATTATTGTTGAGCTTATTTAATTCCTGGAGGATGTAAGTTTTCCACTATATGTATAATTTATAGGTTTGTATTATTTCAGTTCCGACCATTAAATTATTAATACATATTACATACCTATACTATAATATAATATTATGTGAATTCGTAGACATTTCCGGAAAATATACTGAATTATACAATATGCATATAAAGAGAAAAAGTACTATCACGTTGTTGATGAGGGGGGATGAAAAAAAAAAAATATAACAAAAACGAATTTGTCACGGAAGTTTACTGTATCCCGTGGCATTCATGTTCAAGTTTACACACCTACGTATATGTATACTTTATTCAATATTTCACTATTATGTATAAAAATAATAGTCAGCGTCCTTCAATGATGGGGAAATTCACAATGAAAGGTTCATCAGATTCGAATGCACTGTCAAGGTCATACTTAACAAGGATTGATTAGTTTGGTGAAATATTATCTATCATTTTCATATAAATGAATTTTTATTTCATGGATATATACAGAATTATGCTTACTTTCTTTTTTTTTTAACTCTGCAGTTTTTGATTTTCAGAATTTTCGTGAATACTTAAAGACCATTTTTTAAATTTTTGATAAATTTTGTACTATTTAAGGAGTGTTCTGCGAAGATAAAATTTCTGTTTTTTAAATGAGAACTCTCTCTTTCTACTGTAATTTTAATAGGAAAAAAATTTTCTGAAAATATAGAAGTTTTAAAATTCAAATTCAAATGATCAGTTTTTGAATTAGTTAACTTTATATACATAAAATAATAGAAAGATTTTTGGCTTTAATAATTCAAAAATTTTAGTTATGTATATAATTAATTTATCAATATTTTAAATTTATAGCAATGGTTCAAATATAATAAATACTACATAGATCTGATTTATTTTTGTGAAATAATTATTCTAATTATAAAATATATTTAATAACTAAAAAAATCTTTGTTCAAATTTTAAGTTAGGTACATCAACATATTTAAAAAAATATATTAATTTAATAATTTACAAAAAAAAAGATATGGTTTTTATTAAAAAAAACAGAAGTTTGTTTCACCAAAGAACACTCTTTAAGTAGTTAAATAATCTTAAGAATTTGATAACATGATGTTCAAACAGGTATATTTTAAATTCTGTAAATTAAAATTTGAATACATATTTGTTATTAGATGAAAAAATTAGAATGAGAATGCTTGGTTAAATCACTTTTTAATCTGTACAATATGCTAGATTAATCTAATCCTAATTTATAATAATGTAATGCTTGAATCTGCGAGTTGATAATTTTAAATGAGATATTCTATCAGTCGGATAATCACATATTGAGATCATCTCCCCTAACTCTTCTATCATAGATTTAGGTGATGCCGTTATCTTATAATCACGCGGATACGAGGTCGTTATAACTGCGGAGTACCTATATTAATATTACTTATTATATTTTGACGATTTTCCGTATCGTTCCGGGTTATTTTAATTCTAGTGTTTTAGATGTATGGGTTGTGGGCTACTGGATGACTTAATAACGATCGCCAAAAAAAAAAAAAAAACAATGTTAATAATAACTGACGGAAGATACGAGCACTGTTTACTAATAATTTTTGCGAGGCATCTTAGAGCGAACATGATAACATACTGTCACGATATTAGTTATGTTTAATAAATAACTGTGTATTTATGCACTGAATACATAATGTTTGGCCAATATACACACTATTATTAATAGTTTTAATATTATATAACTAAGACTATATGCCATATGGCAACATATATTGTAATATCAAGTGTACGTGACTTAATAATTAACGTTGATACTAGGCAGGCAATAGACAAAGTTTTGTTAAATATTAAACACTAAATTAAAATATATAATTTGAAATAAATTAGAATGGCCTTTATTTTAAAATATTTGATATTTTTAGGTTGAACTGTATTCAATTTGGTTTATATATCTACTTATAAAATTAAGATATTTACGATTTTAGAATACTTATCTGCTATTAAAAATCTATGTAAATACCTAAATTATTTACAGAGTTCCTAATTATATCATATACTAATATCATTATGATATACAAGAACGTAATGGGGAACCTATAAATTTACCCCGTTTTACACCGATCATATTATACACATGCTGATTTATCGACTTAATAATAAGATGCTGTTACGAGGTTCTGTAACTTGTTGCAATGTAGTGCTTATTTACTACCTTGAATATTTATTTTTTAAATATAATTATAAGACATAAAACATATTTTATTTTGAAATGAAATTGTTACTTTTAACAAACTTTATTGTAAAAACATAATTTTAAATATATTTTGATTTTGACAAAATCAATAATGTTTTTAATGTTTTATTTATATTTAAAGAATATTTAAGATAAAAATAATATTTTTTTGATTAGAATAATAAACTATAATAATATATTGAGTTCATGTATTGTATTTTAACAATAGTACCTAGGTACTTATACATTATGAGTATCCCTATTTTAAATTATATAATATAATATTAAAGCCTGAGAACTAAACGATAATTTAAGATTTAATGCGACTTATTTTAGTAAAAATAATACTCAAATATTAATTATTATAAAAACAAAATATATAATTTTATGTTTAATTATATTCTACTGAACAATTAAGGTGTAGATTTAGTACAAAATAATCGATCTTATTAATCATTTATTTATTTGATTGATATTATCATTATCATTGTTCAAAAAAATGTATATATCGCATACATAATTTCAATAACAATATGATTTTTTTAACAGAAACATAATGTACTGATTATACTGAAAAGTATAATTTTTTGGAATTTTTGTGTTTTTCTTTGAATAATTTGTTGTCATTATAAAATAATTATGGATTTAATATAGTACTTAATGATATTATTATAAAAACTATTCTAAGAAAATATTCTATATTTGGCTTTGAGATATAAAATTAAAAATTAAATAGTATAATCATATTTATTTCAAAAAAATTGTTTTATAATGACTTCAAATAATATAATAATTTTTTTTAAAAACTTTTATAGTTTTCATAGTTTTCTTGACAATAACAGTGTTTAATGTTAAAAGAATCAACTGTATAACTCTAAAAGTTCAATAATAATGTTTTAATTATACCATATACACGAGTTTACAATATCACATTATACTCACTATAATAATTAGCACCATGTTTGTGCGACCGGAGGTTACATGTTGGGTGCGATAAATCCGTTTGTACAACGGTATTTGGCGACGAGCTGTTTAACTGGGCGGGTTGGCTGTACGGAGCTGACTGGCGGTGGGCGATTTCTCAATTTAGCATCTGTCTCTCTGCTCGCGACAATCGATCTATCGATTGTTGATCTATACCGATTACTCCGATCTATAAATAATATATATATATATATATATATATATATATATATATATATATCATACGTGATAATCGTGGCGGGGCATCGACACGTTCCGCATCAAATACCCATGTCAATATGTATACAACCAAATGTTATTCTCCAATCATGCTCTCACCATTATTTTATTTTATTTAATAATGTTTTTATTCAAATTCTAACTTTTGAAATTTTTGAATAAAAGTTTAGATTTTTATGATAATATTTTCAAAATCTTAAGTTTTTTTTCTTTGATTTTTTTTTTTAAATGAACTACCCCTTCCTCTTTTTTACTGTAAATTATTAGTGTTTAATTTTTTTTGAAAGTTTTAATGTAAGTACCTAATAAAAATTTAAACAAACAGTTTTTCAGTTATTAAAATATTTATTTCATGGGAAAAAGTTTTTAAAACTAGTTTTATAAAAAATTTGAAATTGATTTAATATTGGATATAGTATTTATTAGTATTCTTAAATAATTTAAAAATATATAAATATTTATGTATTGATATGAATTAATGAAATTTTTAAGCTACTATAGCCTCTATATCTTCCAGATTTACTCGTTCAAATATTTATTTGCTACATACCTACATTCATACGTATTTCATAACAAATATCCACTTAACAATTTAGTATTTTCTACAGAACACTTCTGAAGTGGTATAAAAATGTGAAAAACATGAAAATATAGTCTTAAAGTATATTTTAAAATTTTTAAAATCAAATTTTGGATAAACAAGCTACCAAAGGAGAAAAATGGGATGAACATGGTTGGAGATTCACCGGTATATAGATTAAAAAATATAAATTGTATATACTTATATAGCTATATAAAGCTTTAAGTACGTTCATAGTTTAAAACAGATAATGTATAAGAGCAATAAATAACGAGTGATCTCGCGCTGAAAAAATTGAACCATGATAATATATGTAGGGCAGTTCCACAAAGTACAAGAAATTTCTTAGTCGCTAGATATATTATCATTACTAATTAGCCTGGATTCTGGATGATTGTAAGGTATATATGTATATATGTATATTGTATATATATAATAAATTTATTTGAACAAAATATTCAGTTTTATTAGTATGTATTTGGGGGTTCTGAGTCCATTTTATCAGAGACAAAAAATTTTTAAGCCAACATAATTGTCTTACACATTCAACGATTATCGTGTATATATTATGTATTAAATGTTTTTTATAAAGTAAATATATTTGTATGAGAATAATAATAAACAAAAAAAAAACCTAACCTAGTAAACACATAATTTTAACATGGTAATCGTTGAGCGTGTAAGGCACTAAAATCTCTTTAAATTTTTTTCATTTTCTTGTAAAAGTGGAATACACACTATAACTGATATTTATTTTAAAAATATTAATTTTTATTGTGTAACTTGGTACAAAATTTATTATTTAATTACGCTTAACTTCCACTAGGAGGCCTCTACGCTCTGTTATATTTACCTTATTACTTATTTTTTTTCTTTTTTAACTATATTAGTTCTTAAATTGTTCTTATTGTTCTATTTTGTAACAGATTGAATAAAACATATGATAAACAAAAAAAAAAAAAAAAAATACGCTTAAGTAGGGTCAAATTTGAAATGTTTAAATCGTACACAATTTATTATACTAGATACTATTAATGGTATATTATTATTATAAAATTTATGAAAAACTTAGCTCTTAACGCTTACTTGCCTCTTTCCGAGCTGCTTATAGTATGGTAATTACTAATTTGAAGAGATTGACAAACAATGTGGCTCGTACATATCAGATATCTTAGCCTTAAATGTTTTCCTATACTATCATCTCAATATAGGACTACGTTACTGAAAGTAAATAATATTTATAATAAATACTACAATATGTTAAGATAACTAAATATCAGCCGTCAAAAGTCCTCAGCTATTAACATAATATTAAATATAAAAACTATTAAATTGTGGATGGATATTATTTGCCGATATTCGTGAAAAGTTACATGGTGTCTTTAAGATTGAAATAAGTGACGTATATATTTGTAGCATATAGAGATGCGTAAGTGCTCTTCTAGTGTATATATTATAATATACAGACTGATTTACTGATTAGTGATTACTATGCATTCTCATTTCCCACCCGGTCCCTACCTTCTTATATTTTAATAATGATAATAATATTACAATAATTCTGATTTTTAGTATAAGTAACTTAAAGAGTACATATTAAACCAAATCAAATAGCATAGATATATCATTGTATTAGTATTTATAGTACTGTATTATATTTTCAGATACTTAGGTTTTTATACTATTTAAAAGCGGTCAATGGCAATACAAACGCCGATTATTTTCAAACGAGAACTTTCCTTATTTATTGTATATTGTTAAGCAAAGATGATTTTTTTTTTTTTTTTTTGAAAGTGCTGATGCACCTGTATTAAAATGATTAAAATGCAAACTAGTAGTTAATAAATCATTTAATATTACTAAATTGTAGATGTAATAATTAGTAGAGTACAAGGATGAATGTTAATTCATTAATATTAACTAGCATAATTACTGAATTATCGTAGTTTTTTTTGTCCATTTCTGTTAAAATTGGCTGTGAGTTCGAAGACGACAGACTGACTATATAATAATTATAATTAAGTATTTCGCGCATAATAGTGTTAGGTTTTACTGTTTTAGAAAATTTATAATCGTTTTGTAAACGACCCAAGGGGCCAAGAAACTATACGTTGCCATTCCGTCTGCAAGTTTAATGCGATTCGATTACACGCGTCAAGCGTCGTTTTGACGTTTTTTATCATACAACCATCAAATTTAGGTTCCCTTTTCGAGCACTTTTATACGTTAGCACTGTAATAATAGTAATAATAATAATTCTGGAACGAAAATAATATTATTTTAACCACAAATACTTATACATACACATGAAATAATAATTGTACATAGCATAACGTTAATTGATACTACTAAGCACCATGTAACCCATTCAATTATGATAGCTGTTTGTGCAGTGTATACTCGTAGTTCTTATAAAAAATTATTTGTGCATATGTTTTAAAATAATTTTATTATTATTAAGTTTATGGTTATTCAAATTATGAGAAACTCGTTATACTTTATAGCGTTAAACACACATAACTCTATGACGATGCGAGCTTAAACATTAATAAAATTACCTTAATATACACTAACTATACATTCATAGTTTTATTATCATAATATCGTTATGAGTTCTTATACTATTAAAAAGTTGTAATGTACAATAAATAAACAAAACTTGTTTTAAAACTTTTATTTTTTAAAACGAATTATATATTTTTTTAGATTTTTAGATTTTTTGAATTATTTATAGGTATAACCAAGTGTTCTAGTAAGAATTCGTATAATTAAAAATATCAATTTAGTTGGTGTTAAATTATTAAAGGTATTTTATTTGAAAATTCCGTTTTCAATGGTGAGTTGAAACTTTTCTATAAAAGTTTAAAAAATTAAACTCCCCATGTTTAACAAATATCGCTGTTGAATTCACATAACAAAAGCTTTGTTGGAGCGTCTATCGTTTTAATTGTTTGAACCGAAGTTTTTAGCACATATCGCGTTTGTCGCTGTCTATCATGGAAAAATACGACAAAAAATAATCGAAATATCATCGTAAAAACAAAATTGATTGTAAAATGTGTCGTCAGCAAGCATACATTGTGTAGGCACTGTGGCGCGTACCAAAATCTTGTTTACATTCATCTCATACATAATATTGTAACTTGTAAGAAAAAAAATTAGCTTATGATAAATGCGATAATTTCAAGTGAAAATAAATTAAAAATAAATTATTCTAATGATATAATTTAATTTTTAATATATTTGAAATTAAGTTAAAAATGTAAAAAAAAAAATACTAATTAAACATTATTTTAATAATCATAAGCTGATGCATCATTTGTATGCATAGTAAATGTGAAACCATGATGATTTTAGAGAAACGCTTAATTTTATGTACACAGTCTAAATATTATCTTTGTGTTTTCCAACGACCTTAGTCCAACGAACTGTGCTGCGATATTTATCATTATAATTATACGTATTCAGACTAACGCTATAAATTATTACAAATATTGCAGTGTAGTGTACAAAGTGATTTACCTGCAGGCATGATCATTACTATTTTTTCCTTTAATAATGAATTTATTTAATATTTTTTTAACTTTTATGTTTTAGACCATACTTCAAATTATTTAGGTTTTTTATGTCATCAAATGAGTATCTTGTATTGATATAAACTTCTGTTTTAAAACGAGAACCACAATTTTGTATTCTACATAACAAAGCAGATGGTATTAAGATTCTAATGTTTAAAAAAACGAAATTTTTATTAGTAGGTAGTTGTCTGATTTATCGAACTTGATTTAGATACTAAGTATAGTGATTTTTACTCTTTTATAATAGATTTTAAGATAATAGACTCCATGAATAAAAATAACTTGAAAACTTTTGTAATTATCACTAAAATAAGCACTGCTGTGGGTATTTTCATTTTGTTATTTGTAAAATTGTAAAACAGTATAATAACTACATTAGATTGATAATTATATCACATTTATTTTATGTATACAAAACCGTTATTAAGTATGATTATCTTTAATATGCTTTTAATGTAGTCAAAAAATTACTCCTTAAAATTTGTATTTAGACATAAAATTTCCAAAAAAATTATCTGCCTACACGATTTAAAAAGTAAGGTGGTTTTTACATGAAAAAAAATACGTTTTTATCATGACCGGACATTTTTTAAATGTTAATAATTATCTATGTATTTTAAAACATGGTTTTTAACTTTTTTGTATACTAAAAAAAAATATAAAATTTTGAATAAATTATGAAAAGGAAGTGACCATGGTTGGTTG